ATGTTTTGTGAAAATTATATTTCATTCAGGTGTTACAGTCTTTTGAGAATATTAGGCATACCACATCATTTAATACTGCATGTTTATTCATTTATTTATAAGATTTTTTTTCAACAACAGGAAACAAATTTTATCTAGTGGAACTATTTGGTACTGCACCCAAACAAAATCTTACTGAAAGCTAATTTTTTGTGATATCAACCTCAAATTTGGAACACAAATAACCTAGATTATGGCTTTGACTGTCATGTGATTTTAGACTAAAACATGTTTTGGAAAATATATTTAGCATTTAAAATGTAATAGTATTTTAGTGTATTCTTCATAATAAGAAATTTAAACTTCTATAACCTTTTTTATTTATTTGTTTTAGCAATAATCTGTGAAGTAGCTTCTTTAAAAAATAGACCAAACTTAAGTCTGTACTGAAAAGCATGCCAGATTTACAACAGTTTAATTTGGAAGTTTCATTTTTAGGTCTATGCTCAAAAAGTGATTAAAAGATAATAAATGCATTATAACTATTCCAAAAATATAATTTAGTACCATGAAACAAAATATTAAATAAAAGATATTATTGAACTAAAATGTAGTACATTCATTTATTTGACATTAAAAAGATTGGTCATTTTTGACTACCTCTCAACAGTACCAGAGAGTGAGTTAATATTACTCAGTACTTATTTATTTGCAATGAATAGATTTACACAACAAAACATTTGCCTGTTGTAAAAGGTGTTTTTATGCACGTTTGAGCTGACTTTTCATTGCATTTACACCATTCTAACCAGCAGACATCACCAGCATGTGGTGTTTCGAATGCTTTGAAAAAGTTAATCGTTTTTGTGAAGCAATTGGTTCAGCTGATTCAAAGTTTTGAAAATTACTAGTGAAACCCCGTTTCACGCTGACTTCAATAATAACATGCACTCCTCAAAACTTCATTAGCAACAAATACGCAATGACAACTACAACACTTCGTAAAGCACTTTTATTTATAAGCCCGGGTGCATTAGAGCCAAACTGCAAAAAGTACATTTTACTCTGAAAACAATATCGTACCCACCCACTTTTTGACAATAAAAACAGCATGCCTCAACAAAACACAGTATATACGTCAAAAACTATCAAAAGATGCTGTTAGGCCTTTCATAAACTGTGCTGAAACGATAAAGAAGACAAAAACATCAAAGAGGCCACAAAGCAACTCACTTTCAGCAGCCGTTTACAATGAACCACGTTACGAGAAGACATAGAAAAGGTTTCCATGCATTTGATTTCTTTCACTTCTAAATGTCTTTCTAAGGAGATAAATAATGAGGAAAAAGAAGAGGAAAACTTTGGTTCTGTATAATGACAATTGAATATTAATTCAATATTAAGAACGGATCTTTGTCAAATGTGCCACAAGTAGCCTGAAAGTGTTTAAATAGAACCAGAAAAAGAATAGCAAAGTTTACAGTTGGTTGTCTGTTGACGGCAGTGATCACACGACCCAACCGAATGAAGAGCAGCTTTTATACAGCCAAGGCAAAACGTTTGATAAAATGAATCAAACAGCAAAAAATCGTGCATACAATCATCACGTTAACATTCTTGCTTTACAAAATAAATCTAAGAATACTAAGACTCAAGAAGCAATATTTGACAAATCCGACTAAGCTCATACCGTTTTACTAATAAAAATGTAACTGGTTTAGTAAATCTGAACACGCAATATTAGGTAACACTTTATTTCGATAGTCCACTTTAGACATTCTATTAACAGTAAGTAACTTTGCAACTACATGTCAACTACATGTCAACTAGCAGTTAGTAGAGTATTAGTAGACTGTCTGCTTAATATCTTCTAACACTTTCTTGGTCAACTTATTCTACTAACCCTAAACCTACCCTAACAGTCTACTCTGAGAATTAGTTGACATGTAGTTGACATGTAGTTACAAAGTTACTTATAGTTAATAGAATGTCTAAAGTGGACTATCGAAATAAAGTGTAACCCAATATTAATCTGTACATATAAGATGCAAAAAACATTTTAATATACCTTACAAATGTTTAGATATGACAGAGATCGATCTGAATAGCAGATATTCACCAGCAATAGTCTGAATACAATATCAACAAGTTCAAATGCTAGGTCTTTTTGAGCATCACTATATAGAGTTAGCAGTGTCCACTTTCTCGTTTGAATAACTTTGATTGTTCGCGTTAATATGAATGTACATTGGTTGAACGTCACAGTAAGACTGAACAAGCAAATAGAGCATCTTAAAAAGACATCAGTAGATAAACACGTCAACACTGATTATTGAAAGCTCTCTCTCCAGCAACACGCTTCCATTGAATTTGAATAGAAGCTAAGCCCAGACATCAAACACACTCTCAAGAGCTTTTTCAAGAGACTTCCTTTTGCAATAAAAAGAAAAAATCCCTGAATCCTAAATACAAAAGGAAGAACAAATACACCAGCTCTACTGGAAGAACTTTATCAAAGTGCTCTGAGCACACCACACCAGACCCGGATCTCAAAACCCTGTACGGCAGAAAGAAATATCAAGCTCTCGCATGCATTTACTGTTCCACTGCCACCATCAGCACCGGCTTTAACTTTAAGCAACAGTTCGTTGAGTGGGTTGCTCAGCCCCCTTGATCCATCTGTTCTTGCAGTGCGGATCATGTGGGTTCAATAGATTGTGTGTGTGTTTTTTGTGCCATAGATGCAGCTTTGATTTCAAGGGCTAAACGTATACTGAAATTCACTGCTGTTCAATGTGCTTCACTAAACTCGGTAGAAAATGTTCAATGGCGATTGTCTGGAAATCGGGCAGTGGAGGACAAGCTGTTTAAGTCATTACTATATTCTTACCTAGCAGTTCTACTTTATTTCAAATATATAAACATCCATTTCAATCAGATTACATTCGAGTTTATTACAGGTGTATAAGAGAGATTAAAAGACTAGTTAATGTCTAAAAAAAAATCTAGGTATCCGTGGAAACCCCTAGGAAACAGGATCTCTTTTGGAATGTAGCCGTTGTCCCAAATATCTCATTTGTGTCAAATATCTGCAAATGTAGCACTTATGGTCAAAAACATGGTGGCTAATTTTGTAAACATAACCAAGATACTAAAAAAAAAAACATTCCATACAGCAGGGTTGCAACAGCAAAGTGGCTTCATCATAGTTTATCCATAAAGAAGTGTTCTGAGCAATGAGAATAAAAGCTAATGTGAATGTGATGACACCGTAAAGCAGAGGGCCAATGAAGTTCAAGGAATGAGATGAGAAGCCGGGAGCTTGTACATCCTCAAGCCAGTGATCCTGCAACTCTGGTATTTTCAACTAAGATGGAAAAAGAAAGTAAGGTCAGTATGCAAAATGTTACAGAGCAAGTCTAAAGATGAATATTTTTTAAGAATATAATTCAACACAAACACTGCCACACAGATTTTGATAACTGGACAGCTAAATAAAATGTGTGGCGTGCCAAAGAAGTAGACTAAGGGGTAATGTGGGTACATTCATATTTCTGAAACATTCAACTAATATTTGCCATGGAGAATCTATGCCTACACAGAAGTAAGCCCTGTCTAGGTGCTGCCAGTCCAGTTTGTGTCAAGCTATTTGTTAGTCTTTTAGTAAGAGAAAGATGAAATTTAGTTGCAATCAATGCTTTAACTATAGCATCAGATGACTGTTATTCTGTAGCGTGGAACTGAAGGAGACATGACGATGGCACCATTTGATCTTTGCTTGACCAATCAGTGGAAAGTTCCAGATCACATGGAAATCAAAAATCCAAGCTATTTATCTATTTCTACCCCTGGGTGTAAAAACGAAAAATCAAGACGAATTCTTGTTTTTTCTTTTTTTTTTTTTTTTTACTAAAAAGCTGACGTTTTCTCATGTTTCTGTTTTCAATATTTAATCAAAAAAACAAATGAACGCAACGTACATGGACCGATGTAGCCTAGTCATGTAATGGATTTTGTACTACATGAAAAACGATCCACAGTTTAGCCAACACTGTGTGAAGAGTTTAGAAAAAAGTGACAAAAGTATTGAAAAAAAAAAAAAAACTGGTCCCAGCAATTGCAAAAAGCTGTAGTCTTAATGTTACTTTTTAATGTAAAATAGTATAAAATTTTAAGAAATATGGTTCTGTCATGACAACTCTCGGAGTACCGAGACTTGCTACTGCCAACACATCCACAACATGCTGCTGCTGCAAATATAACATACATGAAATAACCCCCATATAGCATACATGAATCACCTTGTAGCAGATCTATACAGGTGGAGCTGGGGAAGGTGGAGGGTTTCTGAAGCAAGCTGCAACTGCTCATATAGCACTAATCATATATTTGAATGTTGAGCAGTGAGCTCATTGGCTACCGATACAGGAGAGAACCAATCAGCTGTGCCATGTGATAATGATGTCATTAGGTCAGATTGAGTTAGACCTATCAGACTGCTCAGTTGACATGTAGTTACAAAGTTACTTATAGTTAATAGAATGTCTAAAGTGGACTATCGAAATAAAGTGTAACCCAATATTAATCTGTACATATAAGATGCAAAAAACATTTTAATATACCTTACAAATGTTTAGATATGACAGAGATCGATCTGAATAGCAGATATTCACCAGCAATAGTCTGAATACAATATCAACAAGTTCAAATGCTAGGTCTTTTTGAGCATCACTATATAGAGTTAGCAGTGTCCACTTTCTCGTTTGAATAACTTTGATTGTTCGCGTTAATATGAATGTACATTGGTTGAACGTCACAGTAAGACTGAACAAGCAAATAGAGCATCTTAAAAAGACATCAGTAGATAAACACGTCAACACTGATTATTGAAAGCTCTCTCTCCAGCAACACGCTTCCATTGAATTTGAATAGAAGCTAAGCCCAGACATCAAACACACTCTCAAGAGCTTTTTCAAGAGACTTCCTTTTGCAATAAAAAGAAAAAATCCCTGAATCCTAAATACAAAAGGAAGAACAAATACACCAGCTCTACTGGAAGAACTTTATCAAAGTGCTCTGAGCACACCACACCAGACCCGGATCTCAAAACCCTGTACGGCAGAAAGAAATATCAAGCTCTCGCATGCATTTACTGTTCCACTGCCACCATCAGCACCGGCTTTAACTTTAAGCAACAGTTCGTTGAGTGGGTTGCTCAGCCCCCTTGATCCATCTGTTCTTGCAGTGCGGATCATGTGGGTTCAATAGATTGTGTGTGTGTTTTTTGTGCCATAGATGCAGCTTTGATTTCAAGGGCTAAACGTATACTGAAATTCACTGCTGTTCAATGTGCTTCACTAAACTCGGTAGAAAATGTTCAATGGCGATTGTCTGGAAATCGGGCAGTGGAGGACAAGCTGTTTAAGTCATTACTATATTCTTACCTAGCAGTTCTACTTTATTTCAAATATATAAACATCCATTTCAATCAGATTACATTCGAGTTTATTACAGGTGTATAAGAGAGATTAAAAGACTAGTTAATGTCTAAAAAAAAATCTAGGTATCCGTGGAAACCCCTAGGAAACAGGATCTCTTTTGGAATGTAGCCGTTGTCCCAAATATCTCATTTGTGTCAAATATCTGCAAATGTAGCACTTATGGTCAAAAACATGGTGGCTAATTTTGTAATCATAATCAAGATGTAAAAAAAAAAAAGCATTGATACCACGCAGCAGGGTTGCAACAGCGGCTTCATCATAGTTTATCCATAAAGAAGTGTTCTGAGCAATGAGAATAAAAGCTAATGTGAATGTGATGACACCGTAAAGCAGAGGGCCAATGAAGTTCAAGGAATGAGATGAGAAGCTGGGAGCTTGTACATCCTCAAGCCAGTGATCCTGCAACTCTGGTATTTTCAACTAAGATGGAAAAAGAAAGTAAGGTCAGTATGCAAAATGTTACAGAGCAAGTCTAAAGATGAATATTTTTTAAGAATATAATTCAACACAAACACTGCCACACAGATTTTGATAACTGGACAGCTAAATAAAATGTGTGGCGTGCCAAAGAAGTAGACTAAGGGGTAATGTGGGTACATTCATATTTCTGAAACATTCAACTAATATTTGCCATGGAGAATCTATGCCTACACAGAAGTAAGCCCTGTCTAGGTGCTGCCAGTCCAGTTTGTGTCAAGCTATTTGTTAGTCTTTTAGTAAGAGAAAGATGAAATTTAGTTGCAATCAATGCTTTAACTATAGCATCAGATGACTGTTATTCTGTAGCGTGGAACTGAAGGAGACATGACGATGGCACCATTTGATCTTTGCTTGACCAATCAGTGGAAAGTTCCAGATCACATGGAAATCAAAAATCCAAGCTATTTATCTATTTCTACCCCTGGGTGTAAAAACGAAAAATCAAGACGAATTCTTGTTTTTTCTTTTTTTTTTTTTTTTACTAAAAAGCTGACGTTTTCTCATGTTTCTGTTTTCAATATTTAATCAAAAAAACAAATGAACGCAACGTACATGGACCGATGTAGCCTAGTCATGTAATGGATTTTGTACTACATGAAAAACGATCCACAGTTTAGCCAACACTGTGTGAAGAGTTTAGAAAAAAGTGACAAAAGTATTGAAAAAAAAAAAAAAACTGGTCCCAGCAATTGCAAAAAGCTGTAGTCTTAATGTTACTTTTTAATGTAAAATAGTATAAAATTTTAAGAAATATGGTTCTGTCATGACAACTCTCGGAGTACCGAGACTTGCTACTGCCAACACATCCACAACATGCTGCTGCTGCAAATATAACATACATGAAATAACCCCCATATAGCATACATGAATCACCTTGTAGCAGATCTATACAGGTGGAGCTGGGGAAGGTGGAGGGTTTCTGAAGCAAGCTGCAACTGCTCATATAGCACTAATCATATATTTGAATGTTGAGCAGTGAGCTCATTGGCTACCGATACAGGAGAGAGCCAATCAGCTGTGCCATGTGATAATGATGTCATTAGGTCAGATTGAGTTAGACCTATCAGACTGCTCCATCTAGAGTTTCATGCCAGAACTCTGTATTTACATTTATTGATTGTTGAATCTGCCTCTGCGATCATCAAATTCACATATAATAATAAACAATAATAATTCAGTTTTAGATTCGTTACCTGACTCTCTTATTTAGTGATGGCAGACGGAGAGCCTGAGCGATGGAAGTGGACTATCTGCCACTTGCCGTCTTTACGATGCCAGATCCGTGTCTCCTCTGACTGGGCAGTGCATGGCATTCCGTTTGTGTCGAGATACTGCGTGATACGAATGTAGGCGATGCAGGCGGCCTCCTCGCCGATCAGGTGGATATGAGGGTTCAGGATAGTGGTGTGAACCGGCTTGCTGTTCTTCGACCACACTGTTAAAAAATAAAATTTAAAAAAATCAACTTTTCATAAAAATATCTCTAGGTTGCTATAGAGGTCCCGCAATCAAAGTAATGAGCAAAATTTCTTCCAGTAACATTAATAGAACCTTTGTTCACAGTTAGCGGCTCTTGAATAATGTTCTCAAAATGTTAGCACAAAAAACATCATTCATAAAACTTTTTTTTTTCTGAACCCATTTAGTTGGTCATTCAACTATTGTTTTTTTTTTATGTTACCATTTACTACTTGTTTTGAGAAGATTCCAAATTAATGTTCCCATGTTTACAAAAAAATAAAATAAAAATGGAACATTCCGTTAATTTCCTCTGACATTCAGATTGTTTTTAATGCATGAAAAAAAATGTTTTGAGTGTTCAGAGAACTTAATTGGAGCATTAGCAAAACATTCTTAGAATACATTTTTGTTAGTTGGGATAGTGCTTCCATGTGCGACCTCTCAGCCAATTTTTGCCAAACATATTTTTAAAGAACATATGATACGACCAATAGAAACTGACAAAATAAAAACATGGCTTGTAATGCACACAATCTGTGGATGACTGTAGTTTACCTTTGAATACGATTGGTACAACATTGAAGACCTTATTTTAGAAACAAGATTTTGGCCTATATTGTTTAATCTACACTTTAAGAAAAAGGTCGGTTGAAAAATATGAAAAATACATATGCAGGATAATGTCCTGGCAGAAAATTACCCATACACTGACGTATAAAAATACGTCACTCAATATGTCACTTGCTGTTTCTTTTTAATTAATTGTTGTTTACTAACATTTTATCAGTGAAAATTGTTTCTACACCAATTTTTTCAGTGTATGCTAAAACACAATGCAACATATAATTTAATAAAATTTATTAAAAATAAAACACCTGTGAGAAATCAAAAAGGAAAATTCCTTTATATAAACTGTACACTGAGCTGTTTTTTTAATGTATTTATTTATATATTTATTTTTTTTACTTTTCTTAGAGTGCATAACTCATTAATTTATGTAAGTTATAATAAATGCCTATATCCTTAAAAAACGACAGTTGCATTTAACAATTATTTCAGCTATTGAATCTGTTTGGACATGGCGAGTCATTTTAATCCTAGAAAAAATGGCCTCTATAACTCAACAAATGGTGATACAGTATAGGAAGTAAACAAAAGATGAACAGGCAGCAGAAAGGAGCTCCCCTGTCATCAGCTCCATGTCTTTGCTGGACATTTTCGTATTTTTCTGTATTGGTTTGAACAAATTAAAATCATTAAAAAATCATTTTCTGGATGTCACAATTAAACACCACATCACATTCTGCTTTAACAACTTAGAAACGTCACATATTTTGGATCAGACAATATCAAATATTTGCATATTTTCTGTATAAAAACCATTCCTGGTCTTATATAAATCAGTGTTTGACACCAATATGAAATATAATGCTAATCACTGACAATCTTTCTCACAAATCTGATGTTTTTCTCACAATTGTGAGTTTATATCCCGCATTTCTGAGAAAAAAAGTCAGAATTGTGAGATATAAACTTATAAATCTGAGGAATAAAGTCAAAATTGTGAGATATAAACTCACAATTGTGAGTAATAAGGTCAGAATTGCAAGATGTAAATACGCAATTCTGGGAAACAATGTCAGAACTGCGAGTTTACATCACGCTATTGCTAGAACAAAGCTGAAATTACCTTGTTTTATTTTTTTATTCAGTTGCTGAAATGGGATTCCATAGCTACTGATATTCAACCAGCATTAAAAAAAGTCTTGAGGTCAAATAGCATTAGGCAGAAGCTAATTGGAATTTTGCTTTTAATTGTTAGAAATTAGAATACAGGTACACATTGCATCTTACAGTTTTCAAAGTAAAAGCGATGGAAATCCAGCCCCTCCACCAGGTTTCCCAGGGCCTCAGGCTCAAACGCCGTAACACTGGGATCACACATCTTCCTGCACACAAACATAATATAATATATCATAATAATATATTGACAATATCATATTGAAGGTAGTCTTGACATTAACTTATTGGTCTCTGAATATCTTCACAGGGAAGAACCTTTTCAGTGAGGGTTGGGGAATTTTCTTCCTCTTCAGTTTCTATTGATTGTGGAGTTCATCAGGGCTCCATTTTGGGGCCTATTCTGTTTTCACTATTTTTTGCTGCCTTTAGGCCTTTTTAAAAAAAAAACATAGTATGTCTTATCATCTTTATGCTGATGATATTCAGATTTATTTTCCTATTAGATCTGGAGGATCAACATCTCATTCATCTTTGTTATTATGTCTTGAGGAGGTGAAGGGCTGGCTAGAGCAAAATTGCCTACAGCTAAATGCGAGTAAATCTGAAGTTATCATTTTTGGGCCAAATAAGGTTGACAGTGACATAAATGATGTTTTAGGTACATGGACAACAAATGTGTGGTCCCAAATAAGGAATCTGGGTATAACTTTTGACTCAGCTCTAACGTTTGATCATCAGATTAAATGTGTGGTGAAAAGTTGCTTCTTTCACTTGAGTATTATTGCAAAAATGAAATCCTTTTTGTCTGTTGCTGACCTTGAGATAGTGATTCATGCATTTATCTCTTCCCGTTTGGACTATTGTAATGCACTTTTTTTGGGAGAAAGCTAATCTCTTATTTCAAAGTTGCAATTGGTCCAGAATGCAGCCGCGAGGCTCCTTACTAGTACAAAGAAAAGGGAGCATATTACTCCAGTTGTGGAAAAGCTGCATTGGCTTCCGGTTAAATATCGGATTCAGTATAAGGTGTTACTGTATGTTTTTAAAGCTGTCCCATGATATGGCCCCAGAATATATTACGGACTTGATTCATATGAACTCTGGTAGACCTCAAAGAACATTTAACTGCTTACTGCTCTCAGTTCCAAAAACCCGCCTGAAAACTAAAGGGGATTGCGCATTTTCGGTCACTGGCCCAAGACTGTGGAATACCCTTCCACCTGTCATCAGATCTGCACCCTCAATTGATGTTTTTAAATCTCACGTGAAAATATACTTGTTCTCTATGGTTTTTAATTGTTGAATTTTGGAAGATGTAATTTGTTCTGTTTTCTGTTTTTGTTTAATTTTATTTTCAGTGTCCTTGTATTGTTGTGTTGCTGTACAGTCCTTTGGTCTACACTGTAGTGGAAAGGGCTCTATAAATAAAGTAGACTTGAGACTTGAGACATTGTTTTCCAGATAAAAATTCTTTATTGCATGCCAGGATGGGGAAATATACCTACTTTAATTTGATTATTGATCCTAGGAAATATGAATTCTTTTGATGATAGCTGGTTGAGAAGCTCTTTAAAACATTATTTTATGATCAGCCTAGGAAGCCAGGCACACCAGCATTCAGATTGAGAGGAGATGCCGAAATGAACAAGTTTCCTGTGAGGAATATCTGGAATGATATCTTGTTCCTGATCAGGTTGTGGCTAGAGGGGATACAGTTACGGCCAGAAACTAACAATAAATCAACATTTCTACCTATTAGATTGTGTTTTATTAATGTCTACACCTACCCCAACCCTAAAACTACCTCTTACAATAATGCAAAACCAGTAATTATTGTTGAACAGGGTGACAACAATGACGCTATATTGATGTGTGCATGCCCAGTAGCTGCAGCTGTATCTCTTCAGCCTTAACACTGATATGGAGGCCATCTGCTCCATCTGCAAGTTTTATGACAGCGCCATCTACTGTTCACGAGACCATTTGTCCTAAAATCACAATGGCTCTATAGATTCTGCTGAATCAGACCATATCAATGCTTCTCAGCCATTTTGTCTCTTCACCATTATGAATCTTAACAAACTACAAAATCTTTTTAAATCTTTGATGTGCTGAAATGAAACTTGATGTGTATCCTTGGCACTGAGAATTTGGGGAATGGCACCACCTTAGCGATCAACGATTGCAATTGTTTTTTTGCCATTACTCTTACACATTTTGTCCAGTTTTTATCAAATGTGATCTTCAGGTCATGCCTGACAAATCCTACCAAGTTAGCTTTTTTTGCAGTCAAATGTATATAGATATACAAATGGTCCAGTTTTGAAGATCTCAGTTACCTTGGGACTATTTAACCATGGGTAAAAGAAGGGGAAAGTTTATATGAAGACAAGAGGCAAAAAGAAAATAACAATGGCTGACTTTTCGCTGGTGTCATACTGCAACCATCCAGTGAACTTTATGTAATGCATTTGGACAGGAATTCTGCCTCAGTGAGACTTTAGTTTTGCAATCCGCCCCAAATTAGTTTAAGATAAATTGCACAAAAAATACATTAAAAAAAAAAATGAAGTAATGCCCATTCACACCAAGAACGATAACTATATTTGCATCCATGCCAACACATAATAACATTCTGTTTATTATAAGCATGCACTGCAGTAATATTGTCTGCTACTTGAAATGATTTAGACTGGCTGTCAATGATTTAATCACTCATCAGCTGGAAAAACAATCATTCTGTAAATGATTACAATGATTCATTCCACTCTGTCATTATCGTTATACAGTAGTTGTGGTGTGGACGCTATTCTCACATAATGAGAACGATTAGTAACACTTCATAGTTATAGTGATGTGAACAGGACTTTACAGACGATAAAGAAAACAAGTGTTACAGCTGTTGCCAGTCTCCACTACAGTACATTCATATTTATAGATTAGCAAATGTGGATGTGAAAGACGAATGGTCCCAAACTCACGTGTAATTCTCAAAATCTCCATTGCTGATGGCTTCAATGAGTTGCTCAGTTACTTTGATGATTTCTTGCTTCCTCACTGCAAAGATAAAGATTTAGAAGTCGTTTCAGGGGATCAGAATGTGGTAAATTTGTCTATATATGTGTCACTTTTAATTGTTATTTTCCTTGAGATTGACTTATAATGTTAGTGAAGTTTGATAAAAGTACCTGCGAAATAAATAATTGCGTAACCAATAATGGTAAATAAACGTAACATCAGAATGAACAATCCTGTGCTTAATTCAATGGACATTTTATCCAAAAATGAACATTTGCTGTTAATTTACTCACCCCCAGGCCATCCAATATATACAGTGGGTACGGAAAGTATTCAGACCCCCTTACTTTTCTTCAGCAGAAAAGTAAAGAAGATTACTGCAATCCACTTTGAGAGTCAAAAAAGCAAATACAGGCAAGACACAATTAATACCCGTGGCTCCTGACGATATATGGAGGTCTTATGAAGTGAAACAATCGGTCTGTGCAAGAAATTGAAGATTATTTACAACATTATTACCTGTAATCCAGAGCTTCAGGCAAATGGGGAAGTCCGATTAGTTTCCGTGAACTGGTTCTTTCGGAAAGTTTGTTTAAATTAATTGGTTCACTAGTCCGTTTAGGTAATCACGCAATGACGTCACATATGCACAATTATATTATTAAAGCACCCAGTAATGATATGAAACGTGGATGTTTTGCATGTCTAAAGCATATAAAGTGAATGAACTCCCCTTCATCAGCTCAACTTTTTACAATGTGAAACAACAAAAAAGTTCATTCAAGGGCTCGGTTCACGCATGCTCATATCAGCGGCTCATCGGTCTTCAGTCCGAGTCGATCTGTTTCCTCAGTTCAGTGACTGTTGGAGGAACTGGAGCACTGAATGAGTTCATTTATCACATGATCAGATACGCTGCTATTTTGGCTCATTTCGAGTCGGAGTGACTGTCAGGAGTCTGAAAGTGAGTTTTGATTGAGTAACTTGTAGATCTGTGCTGTTTGAGCCGTGAACTGTTTCAGGCGATTCAGTCTGATTTGGTGAACTGGTTCATCCAGTTCACTAAAAAGAACCGGTTCAAAAGAATGATTTGTTTGTATACCAGATATCCATCCGAACCATCTGACTAAAGCTCTGGATTACAGGTAATAATGTTGAAAATAATGTTCAGTTTTTTGCATGTTCCTTCATAAGGCCTCAGCATATTGTCAGGAGCCATGGGTATTAATTTTGTGTTCCTTGATAGGCTTTTTTTTTCATTCTTAAAAACCGGTAGCTGTTGACTTGCATTTTATGAATCACCAAGGACCACAGTTTCAGCTAAAAACTGTTCTACTGAAGATAAAAGTCACCTACCCTGTACATCCTGGATGTCCTGAGGGTGAGTAAATTAACAGCAAATTTTCATTTTTGGGTGAACTCTCCCTTGAATTCAAATGAACATGTCGTTGACAGGAAGCTCCTGCTATGGCGTGTCAGAAACTGGAGGAAATGTGCAGTGCTCTGAATCCTTAGAACCAGAAAAAGACCAACAGACAGACAGTCTCACCTCTAGTATCCTCATCCTCAATTGTGGTGCTTGTACTCTCTGACGATTCCTATAAAAGACACATTAAGATTCAGGATTTTTATTGGCCAAGATCACATAAAACATGATCAGAGTTGACCGGCTGGGCCTTCAAGAAAGAAAGAATTGGTGAAAATCAGAGGATTTCAAGTCAGCAGCTTCGGTCCTGCAACAATAAATGAGTCAGATCAACATCAGCTTTACAAATGTGATGTAACATCAATAACAGAAAAAAGAAAGTCCAGCTCCATGGCAGCCATGTTTTGCTCATTGTTGGGTTGCGGCCTTTAAAGGTTGCCAGTTTGTGGCAGATTGTCAACAGGACGGAGCCTGTTTCACACTCACCATCAGCTGGGTGCTGGAACTGGACTTCCTTTTCTGGAAGAGAAATGAGAAGAGGTTAGACAGGAACAAACATTATGAGATGGACAGAGGGCGATGAGAGGAACAGCTGTGATTCTGAATAATGTACGTGAATAATTTGTTCTTGCATCAACAGTCTACAACAGTATTTCTCTCATGACAACTCTCGGAGGGATTGGCATGGTAATGTACATGACAATCAATCCACCTTATTATTATTTTTTCTTGAATGGCTTATTGTACCAACCTAGCTGATCTTACGAAAAACAAGTCTCACTGTAGTTTACAGGTGAAATGACCACTTAGCGTTGCTCCATTCAGACAAATCAGATTGGGAACTCTGGAGATTTTATTATTTCAGTCTGTTCCATGCATGATAGTGAAAGTATGGATTTAGAATACTTAAATAATATAATGCACAAGCTGTTTGGAGAAAAGAAGTCTGTGTTTAAAGGGGTCATATGATGCGATTTCAATTTTTCCTTTCTCTTTGGAGTGTTACAAGCTCTTGGTGCATAAAGAAGATCTGTAAAGTTGCAAAGACTAAATTCTCAAATCCAAAGAGATATTCT